GCAGAGAGAAAGAAGGAGGGAGGGATGGGGAAAATTAAGAGCAGAGACAGGGAAGAAGGAAGGGGAGTGGGATCTCAGTGTGTGACACACCTTTGGGGGGCAAGTCACAATTATAAGAGGGACTTTACCTAACAAATGCAGTCAGAGTAACCTGGTTTCTTGTGCCCTCAATGAATCTCCAACCATTAAATAAATAAACAAATAAATAACAAAAGAGGGTCCAACTTAAATCACATACAAAGTTAATATTTTTTTAAAAACGAGAAAGAGAATAAGAAACCAGATAAGTTGCCTACATAAAATAAAAAGACACTAGAAAGACACACTAACAAAACAGATGGAAATGATAGCCTAATATTTCAAAACTAGTTAAAGGACATCTAACATGATTTAAGAACTGTAAAAACAATGTAAATCATAAGCAGAGAAACTCAGAAATGAGATAACAGAATTCAGAAAAGAATCATTTAAGAGATGAAGAAAATGAACACAAAACTAAATAAGCATTTAAGAGAAGTGAGGGAAATCAAACAGATACAAAGAAAAAGATAGACTAAACTCCATAGCACAAGCCTGTAATCCTGGCATCCTGCGAGGTTAAGGCTAGAGGTTCACTTGAGCTCAGGCTGAGAAGAACAAGCCCCCATCTCTACTAAAAATAGAAAAATTAGTTTGATGTTGTGACAGTCACCTGTAGTCCTAGCTACTCGGAAATCTAAAGCAGGAGAAATGCTTGAGCCTAGGAGTTTGAGGCTGCAGTGAGCTGTGACAATGCCACTACACTCTAGCCAGGTGACAGAACAAGGCTCTGTCTGGAAAAAAAAAGGAGAGAGAGAAAAAAATATATAAAAGATATGCAAAGAAAATTCAACATATAATAAGATTGCCAAAGAAGAAATCAAATCAAGGAAACAGAATAAATATTAAAAACTATAATTCTACAATTCAAGAAAACTTTTTTTTTTTTTTGAGACAGAACCTTACTCCATTGCCCAGGCTAAAGTGAAGTGGCATCAGACTAGCTTACAGCAACCTCAGACTCCTGGGTTCAGGAGGTCATCCTGGCTCGGCGCCTATGGTTCAAATGGCTAAGGCACCAGCCACATACACCTAAGGTGGTGGGCTCGAATCCAGCCCAGGCCTGCCAAACAACAATGACGGCTGCAACCAAAAAATAGCCAGGCATTGTGGTGAGCACCTGTGGTCCCCGTTACTTGGGAGGCTGAGACAGGAGACTCACTTGAGCCCAGGAGTTGGAGGTTGCTGTTAATTGTAATGCCACAACATTCTACCCAGGGGGACAGCTTGAGGCTCTGTCTCCAAAAAAAAAAAAAAAAAAAGAGGTCATCCTGCCTCAGCCTTCCAAGTAGCTGGGACTACAGGTGCTAGCCACATTGTCCAATTTTTCTATTTTTAGTAGAACCGGGTCTCACTTTTGCTCAGGCTGGTCTCAAACTCCTGAGCCCAAGTGATCCTCCTGCCCTCGGCCTCTGAGAGTGCTAGGATTACAGTTGTGACTCACTCACGTAACCCATTACACTGCACCCAGCCAAGTTAACTTTATATTAAAATTTTATTTAATTATTATTATTATTATTTTTTTAGAGACAGAACCTCACTTTGTAGCCCTTAGTAGAGTGCCACGGTAGAGGGCCATCACAGTTCACAGCAACCTCCAACTCCTGGGCTTAGGTGATTCTCTTGCCTCAGCCTCCAGAGTAGCTGGGACTACAGGTGTCTGCCACAATGCCCAGCTATTCTTTTTGTTGCAGTTTGGCTGGGGCTAGGTTTGAACCCACCATCCTCAGTACTCTACCCAGGGGGACAGCATGAGGCTCTGTCTCAAAAAAAAAACCTACATAAACAGAAGGATTCATATATTTGTCCTTCCTTTCCCAATAACTGTACCACTAAGTATTCAAATAGAAAATTAGGGGAATTTTTGTTGTTGTTACAAAAGTATACCAATAAATAAATGAAGAAAGCAATAATATAATTTGAATATTGCCATTTTACAACTCCCTGATCAATAATCAATGGCTATTAACAATGCAAAAAGAGAGACAACCTAGCATTATATGCACTTTATAAAAAACATGCCACCCTCTTTTTTTTTTTTTTTTTGAGACAGAGTCTCACTATGTCACCCTCTATAGAGTGCTATGGCTTCACAGCTCACAGCAACCTCAAACTCTTGGGCTCTCGCTATTCTCTAGCTGGGACTACAGGCACCCACCACAACACCTGGCTATTTTTTTTTAGTTGTAGTTGTCATGGTTTAGCAGGCCCGGGTTGGGTTCAAACCCATCAGCTCCAGTGTATGTAGCTGGCACCCTAGCTGAGCTACAGGTACCAATCCAGATGCCACACTCTATTAAGTAGTGTTCCCTCCAAAATTACATTTGACTATGATTAAACCTCTAGATACAATTATCAATTTGGCAAAAATTCCGAGACCAGAAGAAAATGTTAACCTACACTGTGGTAGTGCAGTTAGCAAAATTAAAACTGAAATAGACAAGTTTTCCAGTTTCTTCAACAAATAAATTGTGAAGAGTAGAGCTGGCTTAGTAGGCATGCAGCCTGGTAGTGGTGCAGGGTCCACACATAGGAGGCCTACACTCAATGTAATGTTCCAAGGTCACTGTCTTGAAACTATTAGTAGTTTTTTTATATTAATTATTTTTTATTAAATCATAACTTTGTACATTGATGCATTTATGGGGTTCAGGGTACTGCTTTGATATACAATGTGAAATGTTTACCTTGAACTAAGTAACACATCCAACACAATTATACTCATTTCTTATGTACCTTCTTTAAACAAAGAGAAGAAATAAAAAACCTGGAGATGCCTATAGATTAAAAAGACATAAAACACATATTTTAACACATTAACTGCTGTATGAGTTGAATTTAACTCACACTAGTTTTGAGCCAGGAGCTTTGCGAAGCTGTCATTATTTTTATTATTATTTTCTCTGTCAACCATCATGTCTTCCCCACCTCTGTTGCCCTGCTTAAGCTGATCTGCCCAAGCATGACATATGTGCCGGACTGTGCTCTCCAGTAACAATTATCACACCTTCCCGTGCCTTCTGAATGCACATTTCCATTTGAATGGTTGCCTAGTTGCTCTTTGAACAAAATTGATACAAACAGTGTAGTGGCCACATGACATTGCTGCACATTCTTAGGGGGTATGATTCAGAGGTCATCCAGTGTCAGTGCGACTCCAAGCAAATAAGTAACACCTACTCAGTCCATTTTCCTCGAACGGAGGGACCTGGGGAAGCCAACGCCAGCAAGCCCTCTGCAAAGGGAGACAAGGGTGCAGTCCCCTCCAAGGTGCTTCACTGGTTTTTATTGAAATCTCAGGCAAAAGAAAGCAGTACGGAAGCAAGCTTTAGAGAGCAGAAAAGGGCCGGGTGCTGTGGCTCATACCTGTAATCCCAGCACTCCTGCAGTCAAGGTGGGTGGATTGCTTGAGTTCACAAGTTCCAGACCAGCCTGGGCCAGGGTAAGACCTCATCTCTAAAAATAGCCCAGAGTTGCGGCAGGGCTTGTAATGCCAGCTACTCGCCAGGCTGAGGCAAGAGAATCGCTTAAGTCCAGGATTTTAAGGTTTCTGTGAGCTATGACACCATGGCACTCTAACAAGGGTGACAAAGTAAGGCTCTGTCTCAAAAAATAATAAACATAAGTAAATAAAAATAGAGTAAAAGTTAAAAAACAAGTTTTTCTTTAGCTGCATAATTGAACTCCCAACACATCCTGTTTACTGTACTTCTGTCTTGCCTTAATCTTAATCACTGTTAATATATGACTTAGGGCTGGGCAGTATTCTAGTGTGTTATGGGAATTGATGGGGCTGGAGTCGCAGAGGTAGGACCAGCAGTCAGAATGTTTTGGAAGAGAAGGGGGCTACAGCTCTCTCAGGCATGCAGCAACCCTAGTTTATTTCTTACTCACTTATATACCCTAACAATGAAGCATTCTGCATATACACACATAATCTTAAATTTATAATACAACAAAGTCACAAAAAAGTCACGAGCCTTATTTATCTGTTTTTGCTTCAAGGAACAAAGTACTCATTCGTAAAGAACAGACGTAATCTTTAATTTAGCAGCGCAATAATCTTATCTGGATTTACTCTTGCAGGAAATTTCTGACCACAGCATGCTCTGTTTTCAGTGCCTGCCTCCCACTAGATTAGTTTTCTAATCTCTCCAGAGGGTCTTCAAAGGAATGTCCCTTCCTGCAGACCTTGACACAGTTTCAATCAAGAACAAAGTTATGGCAGCCTTTAATGGGTCTTGGCTACACTAGTGAGTATTGTTTTCAGTAGTCATGGTCAGCAGTGATTCTTGGCTTTTGTCCGGATTACTCTGTTCCTATTGCCTGGCATTTTTAACCCTATGCTCTACCTTATAAAGGAACACCCAAGGTCCACTCCAGACAATTAAATACTTACATAATGACAAAAGACTCTGAGGAAACAAATTCAATTCATAAGTGGTGACTCACATACAATTCACGTGGCATGCAGAGTAAAAATTCTAGTGCTGCATGAGTTGTAGATAACTCACACACAAAAAATAAAAAAAACCCAAAATTTTCATTAAATTAGAAAGGCTTGGCTCAGTGCCTGTGGCTCAGGTGCCAGCTACATACACCTAAGCTGGTGGGTTCAAATTCAGCCCGGGCCGCCAAATGACAATGCCGGCTGCAACCAAAAAATAGCCAGGCATTGTGGCAGGTGCCTGTAGTTACAGCTACTTGGGAGGTGGAGGCAAGAGAATCACTTGAGCCCAGGAGTTAGAGGTTGCTGTGAGCTGTGATGCCACAGCACTCTACTAAGGGCGACAGCTTGAGGCTCTGTCTCAAAAAAAAATAAAAAATTAGAAAGGCTTGTTTTGCTTTACAAGTTTGTATTCTGGACCCAGACTGCTGAACCTAGATACATTCTAATTCTGACCCACTTGCTTGTTACCAGCTCACCATGGCCAAACAGCTGCAGGCCGGAAGACTCAATGGGATCACCACAACCCCTGGGTGGAATTTGTCAAACTCTCCAGTGAGCCTGGCGTTGTGAACTTGGGGCAGGGATTCCCCGACTTCGCACCCCCAGACTTCACTTTGGAAGCCTTTCGGCATGCTGTCAGCGGGGACTTCATGCTTAACCAGTACACCAAGGCATTTGGTTACCCACCACTGACAGAGATCCTGGCAAGTTTCTTTGGGAAACTGCTGGGCCAGGAGGTGGACCCACACAAGAATGTGCTGGTGACTGTGGAAGCCTATGGTGCCCTGTTCACATCCTTCCAGGCCCTGGTGGATGACGGTGATGAGGTCATCATCACTGAACCCTCTTTTGACTGTTATGAGCCCATGACATTGATGGCAGGGGGTCATCCTGTGTTTGTGTTCCTGAAGCCGAGTCCCATCCAGGATGGGGAACTAGATTCCAGCAGCAACTGGAAGCTGGACCCCACAGAGCTGGCCAGCAAATTCAGCCCTCGCACCAAAGCCCTGGTCCATAACACACCCAACAACCCCCTAGGAAAGGTGTTCTCCAGGGAGGAGCTGGAGCTGGTGGCCAGCCTGTGCCAGCAGCACGGCGTGGTGTGCATCACTGACAAGATCTACCAGTGGCTGGTTTATGACGGCCACAAGCACATCAGCATCGCCAGCTTCCCTGGCATGTGGGACCGGACCCTGACCATCGGCAGTGCTGGCAAGACCTTTAGTGCCACTGGCTGGAAGGTGGGCTGGGTCCTGGGTCCAGATAACATCATGAAACACTTGCGGACTGTACACCAGAACTCTATCTTCCACTGCCCCATGCAGGGCCAGGCTGCAGTAGCCTGGAGCTTTGAGCGGGAGCAGGTGCACTTTGGCCAACCCAATAGCTACTTTGTGGAGTTCCCATAGGCCATGCAGCGCAGGCATGACCACATGATCCGCAGCCTGCAGTCAGTGGGCCTGAAGCCCATGATCCCCCAGGGCAGCTACTTCCTCATCACAGACATCTCAGACTTCAAGAGAAGGATGCCTGACTTGCCTGGCACTGCAGATGAGCCCTACGACAGCAGCTTCGTCAAGTGGATGATCAAAAACAAGGGCTTGGCATCCATCCCTGTGTCCATCTTCTACAGCGAGCCGCATCTTAAGCTCTTTGACCACTATATCCGCTTCTGTTTTGTGAAGGATGAATCCATGCTCCAGGCCATGGATGAGAAGCTGTAGAAGTGGAGAGCTGAGCTCAAGCCCTGATGCCACCTCCTCCCGACCCTTCCAGTCCCTACACACTCTTATCTCTTTCTAGGTCAGGGGAAGATGGTGCCGGGAGATCTTTCTCTATGACACAGAGTATTCCCAGGGAAGAGCCCCCTCCTTGGACTTGGGGAAGTCAGGTGTTCCCTCTCCACAGTGCCTATACTCCTGTCCCCAAGGGGAGGGAAGCCTGACCTGACCTCTTCCTGCCCCTCTGTGGTCAAGTCACAGGGCCTTGGGTTGCTTCTGGTCTCCCCAGTGTGGCAGGGACTGGCAGGGAGAGTCCCTTAGTGTGTCCAGCCTCATGTTGCCAGCCCTGCATGCCCCAGCTAAGACTCAGGCATAACCTCTGCCTGTCCTATCTGATCTTGACCTTGGGAAGTTGCTTTTAGTCTTGATTCCTCAAGTCACTCATTTTTACCCATATAAAATTTTAAGTTATTTAAACACTTAAAAAAAAAAAAGAAGTTTTTATTCTATTTTCGTAATAAAATATCCTGGCCCCAAGGAAAAAAAAGTTTCCTAGTGTGATAGTCAATATGTTAAAACATAATAAAACTACTCATAACCCACTTTTTGTAGACATTGTTGTAATACTGAATGAATTTTAGACAGCTAAATTCCTATCTCTTGGTTCCAGTTGGTAATAGAGAGAAAAATACCAACTGGAACCAGTCTTCAATAATGGAAGATAGAATAGTAAATAGACCTGTAGTATCAATTCTTTTTTGAGATAGTTTTACGCTGTCACCCTGGGTAGAGTGCCATGACATCACAGCTCACAGCAACCTCAAACTCCTGGGCTCAAGTGAGCCTCTTGCCTCAGCCTCCTGAGTAACTGAGACTCTAGGCACCTGCCACAACACCTGGCTAATTTTCCTATTTTTAGTAGAAAGGGAGGTCTCATGCTTGCTTAGGCTGGTCTCAAACTCCTGAGCTCAAGAAATCCACCTGGCTTGGCCTCCAAAAGTGCTAGGATTACATGCATGAGCCACCACACCCAGCCAGGCTTTTTTTTTTTTTAGACAACGTCTCACTCTGTAACCCTGGCTAGCTTACTACAGCTTCAAACTCCTGGGTTTAAGCAATCCTCCTGCCTCAGCCTCCCAAGTAGCTGGGACTACAAGGCATGTGCCACTATGTCCCACTCATTTTTCTACTTTTCATAACAACAGGGTCTTGCTGTTGCTCAGACTAGGTTTAAACTCCTGGCCTCAAGCAATCCTCCCCTCTCAGCCTCCCAAAGTGCTAGAATCATAGGCGTGAACCACCGCATCTAGCCTGATAAGGGATTAATATTTAAAATATATAAAACTTAGTAACATCACCCAAAAAACACAATGCAAAAGTGGGCAAAGGAGGTGAATAGACATTTCTTTAAAAAAGACATAGCTAATAAGCTCATGAAAAGAAAGACACTGAACATCACAAGTCATCAAAGAAATGAAAATCAAAACCATAATGAGATACCACCTCATACCTGTTAGGATGGCCACTATCAGAAAGTCAGAAAATAAAAAGAGCTGGCAAGTATTTAGAGAAGGTGAAATTTCTCTAATTGTGCACCATCGGTGGGAATGTAAAATGATATATATCTTGTGGAAAACAATGTGTCTGTTCCTCAAAAATATTAAAAATATAATTATAAAAATGTAATCCAGTGATTCCACTTCTGTGTATGTACCCAAAAGAACTGAAAAGAGGGTCTTAAAGAGACATTTGTACACTCATGTTATAGCAGCATTAGTAATGGTAGCTAAAACATGAAAGCAACCCATAAATACTTTTTATGTTTTTTTTGAGACAGAGCCTCAAGCTGTCCCCCTGGGTAGAGTGCTATGGCATCACAGCTCACAGCAACCTCCAATTCCTGGGCTCAAGCGAGTCTCCTGCCTCAGCCTCCCAAGTACCTGGGACCACAGGTGCCCACCACAATGCCTGGCTATTTTTGTTGTTGTTGCAGCCATCATTGTTGTTTGGCGGGCCCAGGCTGGATTCAAACCCGCCACCTTAGGTGTATGTGGCTGGCGCCTTAGCCACTTGAGCCACAGGCGCCAAGCCCATAAATACTTTTAATATAAATATCGAAGAATCAGATGGGCAAATAGATGTAGGAAGCCAAGAGTACAAGTGAAAAGCCAATCATGAGAGTTTACAAATGATCATTCACTTTGATGTATTATCCCAAATATCGTATGTCACAGGGTCCACAAGGTCTTCCTTTGGGATTCTGAAGCTATCAATAGCCATCCTTGTCATTAAGGTGGGTTCTGCCATCTCCACTTTGGCCTTCAGGTATGACCCATACACAGTAGTCTGGGTCATCATCAGGATATTTGGAAGAAAGGGTTGCTGGAAATTTGCTTGAACCAGAAAATTTCTTTTTCTTCAATTCAGCTCTGCTTCGCTCATATTTGTCCTTTGATGCTGAGAGTTCCTCAAGTGATGAAGATGTTTTGTTAATCTCTTGATAATCTTTATTCTGTTCCCCCTGGCTGAATTAAGACATGTTTTCATTGATTTGCTTTTCTTTAGAATGTGTGAGATCCACATGAGGCTTCATTTCCTGTGTGGCTTCTGGCTCTATCTCAAGCTGTGGCCTACTGCTTCCATCCTCTGCTTTTTTCTTTATAAGCTCTTCTTTTTCTTTCTCTTCTTCCTCTTCCTCTTCCTCCTCCTCTTCTATTTCAGGCTCATCCTTCATTCTCAACAGAGCTGGAGGGAGTGCTGGACACTTACGGGGTAACTTGCCTACTGTTTCAATTTGAATTTGCTTCCCCCTTTCATGGAACCAAAGAGAGGCAATGTAAGCTTTTTAGCTTTATTTTCTGCATCTGTAGTCTGACTTTCAGTCTTTTTTCAGTTCTGGAATCTCTGCTGGCTTTACAATTTTTATTAACCCTTTAAGTCTCTGTTGTTCTTTCCTTAGTTTAAAAGTTCTTAGGTGGGCTTGGCGCCTATAGCTCAACCGGCTAAGGTGCCAGCCACGTACACCTAAGGTAGCGGGTTCGAATCCCCAGCCCGGACCCGCCAAACAACAATGACGGCTGCAACCAAAAAATAGCCGGGCGTTGGGGGCGGGCGCCTGTGGTCCCAGCTACTTGGGAGGCTGAGGCAGGAGACTCGCTTGAGCCCAGAGGAGTTGGAGGTTGCTGTGAGCTGTAATGCCATGGCACTCTGCCCAGGGGGACAGCTTGAGGCTCTGTCTCAAAAAAAAAAAAAAAAGTTCTTAGGTGAAGTTTCTTCCTGGACACATCATCTAATACACTCCCTGATTTCATTTCTGACATGATTGCATCTAAAGAATCCTGAGATTGAGGCTTTCAGCTTCTCAGAAATTTCAGAGTTCCCTCTCAGCATCATTTAACTTTGCAACCAATGATTCAAAGGTCTCTGGCTTCTAGTCAATCTTGCCAGCCTTCTTCATTTGGTTCAGATGTTTGTTCTCAACCAGGGCAGTTCCATCAAGGAATGTGTCATCATCACCATCATAAAAGTCTTCGTCCTCCCAGTTCTCAGCTTTCCTTTTCCAAGATAATGCTTCCTGCCGCAGCAATCCCAAAGTATCAAGGATCCAACAAGCTTCCAGTGAGCACCAGATCATTGCTTCTTTTTTCTTTCCTGAGTGAATAGCCTCAGCCACAAGCTGTTTTCCAGTTGAATCATCCACAAGTAACCTCACCCAAAAGAGCCAAGTGCTATGTCCTTGTTCATCAAATTCATATTCTAATTCTTCTCCTTCTCTGTCAAAAAAAACCTTGGAGAGCCTTTTTTGGATCCTTTATATAAAAGGCCTCCCTTTCTTGCTGAAACTTTAAGGCAATGCGGTTCTCTTCAGCCTCATCCTCTACAGCAGCTGCTCCCATTCCCCAGGTGCAACCCATCTCATCATCTTGGCCACTAGTACTTCTCTTCCCTTCACTGGTATCCATTTCCTCCTCTTCATCTGAGTCTTCTCCTCTAGCATCTTCTCCAACAGCATTTGCGGCTGTTTGTGCAATTTCAACTACATTACAACTCAGATTCTGCCTTGTAGTCATCCTCTGGTTCCTTATGAACCAAGCAAAAAAGTTCTTTCAGACTTCAGGATTGTGAAAGTTACTTTCAGAAATACGGCAACATGTAGAGAGGTCTGGAGATGAGAGGCCAGATCCTCCACTTCTGTAATCACTGCCCAGGAGAATTCATTTCCTCATCAAAAACTTAAGCAGCTTTAGGAACGCAGCCCGCTGAGCTCTTGAGATTTCAACTCTAGGTTTTTCTATTTACCTGCAGGATAAAGAGAGGGTGCTGCCTCCAAAGCGAAGAACACGTCCGATGAGGACCCGGTGCGGGGTGGGATTCTAGTTTTGCTCAGAAAAGTGCCATGAGTGCTTCCCAGATCATAGAAACAGAAGCCCGGCGGTGGTCGTCGCATTCTCCGTCTGGGCCAGACGCCCTGCGCTGCAGCATGGCATGGGACAGAGACACAGAAGGGTGCTCCAGGCACATGTCGCTAGACAGCCTACCAAAAAGGCAGTAAGTCGTCCCTTTCAAGCTCCTGGTGTTGAGGAAGGTGCCATAGGGGGCCATGGTCGGGCCTCTCCATGGCGGCTCTTGGTAGCAGAGTCTGGGCCAGACTGCCAGGGCAGGAAGATGTTGTGGGGAGACGTGGCCGCTCCTCCTGTGGACTCCTTGTGTCCCTGCTGTCCAGCTGATGTGGCGGAACATCAGACTCCCCAGAATCTAGGTCCTGCAGCGCCCTAGGCCTTTCTTTCTTCACCTCCTCAGAATTTGAGCATTTATCCCGCACCGCTGGAGGCACGCCAGAGATGGCTTTTTTTTTTTTTTTTGTAGAGACAGAGTCTTACTTTATTGCCCTGGGAAGAGAGCTCACATCAACCTCCAACTCCGAGGCATAGGTGGCGATTCTCCTGTCTCAGCCTCCCGAGTAGCTGGGACCACAGGTGCCCACCACAACGCCTGGCCACGTTTCCGCCGCAGTTCAGCTGGGGCCGGGT